TTTTCCTTATGTTACTTTTTGTTTATACCTTCTGTATCTATGATCATTACTTCTCATGCAAGGGCAGAGTCATGATTTAGTCCCTGCACAGTCAAAAATATTGAAAAATGAAAGATGTTAAAAGTTTATTGTATCAAAAAGTATACAATCTTATTTCAGCATTTCACTTTTGTTCAAACATGTAATATTTCTTTGTCTTTTATTACAGTACGTCAAAGGTAACGCACACTGTATTTCTTTAGTTTGCTGCTATCCCTGTGTTCCCTGAGGGAAAATTTGCACTCATTTCACAAAAGCAAAAGCAAGTGCAAACCAGAAATCTGTGAGAGGTGTTCACTTAGCTCTGCAGAGCGATTTGCATGATTTGCCATGTGATAGTTCAGCAGAACTTTCTATGTGGCCTGTGGCACTGTTTCTAAACTACGATTTGCTTTCTGGGATGATGTGTTTTCCTTTCTAAAACAAGTAGCCACTCAAAAAGTAAACAATACATGGAAAAACTAACTAGCTCTGTGCTGTGTCATTCATTGTCTAGCCATGTAATTTGGGATAATCATCCAGAAACAGCTGAATYGCTTTTAGCCACAAAGAATTGCTTTTAGCCACAAGAAAGGAATCTAGTCTTTTAAAAGGAATACTCTGGATTCTCTGTTTTCACTGTGTACTGATAAACCTAGTAGTTTCACACAGGGTTTCATTGCTGTTTGAAATTGTACCGAGGAAAAGGCATCTCTTTGTGCCACATGAAGTTTTTACTCTGTAAATAGTTCAGTGAGTGTTCTCATTTTCAGTGACGGATGATAACTTCCATGGTGATTGTAGCTCAGCCAGCTACCAGAGACACAAGTAGACAAGAAGCACTCATATCATCCATGCTGTAACTCAGTGGTCACATCTGCCAACAGATTTCAGGAGAGGGTAACAATTGGTCCTTTGGAAAACAGTCAGGGCGAGCTCTTCTGAAATCTGCTGTGAATAGAAGAGAACGTGTAGTCATAACTTTTCACACATTACAGGTTTGCAGTGCTGAGCAGGTTGTGAGTCCTGTAAAACTGAGCCTTTGGTTGGTGCCAAGCCGGTGCCAAGTAGTCTGAAGGGGTGTCTAGGTGTTCAGGTAATCACATCCAGGTTCATACTAAAGGCCTTCTGCATTTTGCTAGCAGTACAAAAGAGACTGAAAGCAGCTTTAATGTTCACCTGCCACGGCATAGTTCTTGATCCGAAGAAAGCACACTAAGCTTCATGACCCACACATTTTTCTAAGCCAAGACACTACTGCTTTAGCTTGGCTGTAGCCTGAACACAGCTTAAGCACACTGGATGCTTAAGTGCTAGCAAGAATGAGCCTGCATCTCAGTGCCAAACTCATTCGTTGCAACAGACTATTATAAAAATACTGGTTTTGCCTCCTGCAACAGCATCAGTGCTTGACCTTCTTCAGGGCCCTCCACGAACAAACTCAGGGCTGTGCTCTGTCTCTGAGTGCCCTCCAGGCATCTGCCTGGAGCCCCCCTGCACAGCCAGTGACTGAGTCAGTGACACAAGCTCTGGGAGGAAGGACTCAGAAGAGAGCATTGCTGATAAGGGCTATGCGCTGAGGGAGAGGTCAGATTCCCTGGTATTGTATCGCTCCATGAGTAAGACACTCAACTAGCATGTGAGTGACCAGGTCAAAYTCTTCTGCTGATTTGGTGCAGCAACCTCAAGTCACTGTCCCCAGAAGACATATCCCAGCTTTTACACCATAGGGCAGTTCTCCTAGTGTCTCTTATCAAGGTTCTTTGTCCCAGCTGGGAGAAAAAGGTGTCTGCGTGCACTCAGTGACCAAACCTGAACATTTCTTCATACACACATTCTGAGTCTTTTAAAAAAGCTTCAAGATACAACATTTAAAAAAAAAAATGTTTACAAGGAAAATAAATCTGTGTCAATATCTAGGGCATTCTCAGGTGATTGTATTCCCATAATTAAAAAAATGCTGATAGTTTGATGCTCTGTGCAATTCCAAGACAGTACTTCAACTATCCAGTGATACCAAAACTACAAGTTACAGAGCATGCTCATGGGAAACACACAGAAAGCAAAGAAAAATATATCAGCCATTAGAACTCAAGTCTAACTAAAGTTTGTTTATATAATTTTCATGACTGTACAAATGCCAGGATAAGCTGAACCATTTGACAGCAAAACAAACTATAAATCTTGCATGTGCATACAAGTCAGGTATTGTAAGAAACAAGCTTGTCTTTTCCTCTTTTTGTACATCTGTGATGGCGGATGCCAAGTGGAAGCAGGAGCTGTGCTCTTATATCCTGTCACTTTTCTCTTTCTAGCTTCTCTTTCTAGTTCACAGAAACTGCTTCTTATTGAAAAATGTTTCCATAACTGCTGCTCTTCAAAAACTGCTAAAAAGCCCTTGGATTAGGACTTAGGTTTTATGTTGTTTTATGAAAAGGGGATGACTTGACTTGACTAATTCAAACCCCCCAAAAGACATGTCTGAATTCTGGATGAAAAGGCATTTCCCTGCAGCCTTGAGTTATGTTTCCAGCTTAGACCTGTGCCCAGTCCTTAGCTGTGGCTGCGGACTTCTTTACACTCTCTACTCCACACAGCTGGCTACCACACATCTCATTTCTCCTGCACCCTTCCTAAGTGTCACGGGGTGTCACCTCAGGGTTCTGCATATCACGAGGTRCTAGATCTCAGAAAGACAAGCAAGGTGAGCCACTGCCTTGTGAATCACTTGTTTACAGTCGATTGCCACTTTAGCTGATTGAATAAAGGGAACACCTGCAACAGCGCATAATTGTTGTTGCAATGAGAGCAATCGACTGTTCATTCTTACCAAATAACTTCTGTACATGTCTGCCATCTTCATGTTCCCAAGCACCAGACACCTCAGATAAATAAGACATTGCTGTCCAGTACAATTTTAAAAAGGTTGCAAGGTGGGTACAGGTATTTTAATTTTAGAATCCTGTGGCATCTCCATCCCTGTTTCTCCCTATTACATCAGCTATGCTGTGCAACCTTTTGTCTTGGATGCTTCTTTTTCCTCCTTACAGCTTTGTGGTTTCTAGCTATTTAAAACTGTATGATATAAAGAAGACCACCTTCCAAAATTCAGTGCACTGAGGAATAGTGCATCCTTAAGTTCTCTCAATAAATTTCAGTCTTGCAAATGGGATTTCTTTACCACAAAGACATCTGCTTTTGGGGGCCAAGATTTTACTGCCAAGTGCTGGAACAAAGCTGGTGTGGCACCATACAGAATAGAATCCTTCATATTTTCTTTGTTCTTAATATAGAAYGTGTTGCAGAAACTTGGCAGATCCATCACTTTTTCTTCTTCTTTTGCTTTGTTGTCATTTCCACTATTTAAATAGATACATTTAGACTGCAGATTGTTTTAGACAAGTAGATGGAAGAATTTGGTAAATTCCAAAGAATACACATTAAGTATTTGGCAATATATCCTCGGCAAACAGCTCCTATGCCATCACACCATGTGTCAAACTATCCCACCTAGTTGTATTTGAAATCATGTGCTCATTTCAGCCAAGGGGAGCTAAAGTCTCAGAGACGTTCACATTTTTGTAAGTTTAATCTAGATGACAGGTATCTTCTTCAAGTGCCCTCCATGCTATTACTCAAGACCCATAAGCATGGGAGAGAAACCCTGGAAAGCAATCAGTTTAAGGAACGCTTTATTTAGAGCTCGCAGTCAGGCAAGAGAGGCATTTGCAAGAAACCAAGTCTCTGGCAGGCAAGTACAGCAAGACAAAATGGGAGGGTTGAAGCTGTTGCTGCCTCTGGCTGTTCATCCCAGCCAAGGCAGAAATGGTCGAAACTCAGATAAAACAGCGTTTGAACCACTGTGGTGCTCAGCTTGGTCTTTCAAGGTAAGCTAGTACTGACTGTGGCTTTGTGGTACCTGTGGCCTCTGTGTTTATCTGCCCCGGCAACTTCTGGTTATGCTCAGGCCCTTCGGAGAGCCCCGCGTTCGAGCTTAAGGCGACACCGAATAGGTCGGGGTAGATGCCCGTGGTTTGGCTGGCGGGGCGCCCCCCCCCGCTCTGCGGGCGCTCTCCCCGAGCTGTGGGTGCCCTCCCCGCGCTGTGGGGCGCCCTCCCCGCGCTGTGGGGCGC